ATTTATCATTCAAAATCTTACGATCAGGTAAACTCCTGGGTCAAAATACTGATTATTTCTTCACTTCAACACTATATATTCCAGAGAGGTATTTTACTACACTAAGACCTAAAATAAATAATCCCTTAATAGTTTAAATGCTTATTTTAGAAATTACATTTTTCTAGAAAAAGTGCCTAAAACCCTAAGCCAATAAGGAAAACTGACTTTTTTTGGTGCAGGAGGTGGGGGGGTGGGAAGGGACTGTGCAGCTGAGATGAACTACGTGTACAGTTTCCTCTAAGTTGTGCCTCAGTAGTTAACAAGTGACAAATACCACTAAAACTGATGACATAGCGTAGCTTTCAAACATCTCAAACTGTTTAGGAACCTCGTTTTTGTTAAAGGGGATTTTTTTCTTTTGGGAAGAAAAAGTCTCTCATGCATGGTCATGTTAAAACTAAAGATGATTTTCTGTTGGAAAATTCAATCATATCATATGACAACTAAGAGACTTCATTTGCCAAAGGAAAAAAAGAACCTCCTCCAGAAAGAAAAACCTTGAATCAAATTCCAGCACTTAGGCTGAATTGATGAATTTCTCTGTTTCCTGAAACTGTTTAGATTCAGAGCATACTGATATAAATGAAAAACAAGGACACTCAAGTTCCTCCTTTCAGTTAACTTGGCGAAAGAAAACCTCACAACTAGGTACAAGAACCTGAAGAAAGAGGAAATATTAGCATCAAAAAATGTGGCATTGCTCCTTAAAAAAACTCTCAAAAATAATACTATATATACTTTTAATTATAAATCTGACAGAAAGACTATATATATGTCACATATATCTCATTTCAAAGGAGAAACTGGAATACAAATTTCAAAATCTCTAAGTAATACAGAACTTTCTGTGGTGACAGAAATGTTTCATAGCCGAGCTGTTCGCTACAGGGGCTACTAGCCAAAAGTACCTACTGAGCCCTTAAAATTTGGTTAGTGAGGGGAGGGAGTTTAGGATTAGCAGATGCAAACTATTGTAGGATGGATAAACAACAAAGAATGATACTTAATATTTGTGATAAACCATAATGGAAAAAAAATGAAAAATATATATACAATTGAGTCAGAAACTAAACACAACATTGTAAATCAACTATACCTCAATAATATGGTTTAAAAAAATTGTTCAGTGAAATAAGGAATTGAACTTTAAATGATATCTAATTAAATTAATTTAAATTTAACATGTGCAGCTTTAAGGAACTGGAGGGAAATATTTATACCTTACATTCTGATTCAAATAGTAAAAAGCCTGTAGATGGGTATATACACAGAGACGTAAGTTTATTTTCTTTAAATTCTTGTGATTTATGTAGAGGAAAGTACATAATATAACAATACTGGTGCTACATTTGTGAGAATCGAATTTTCTATGCTAACCTTCTAGAGAGGACTAGAATATTGGTTCACAAGTTGGCTCCACATTGTAATTTCTTAGGGAGCTTCCAAAAATATGTATGTCTGGGTCTTAACCCCAAAGATTCTAGTTTAATTGGTCTGAATTGAGTCCTGAGCATTAAGATTTTTAAAAGCCACCCAGGTGATTCTATCATGCAACCAGAGTATCACTAAACTAGAAAGAAAATAAGAAACTGTTTAATAAGCACAGATGCAGTATACAACCAAAGATATTTTTTTTGCTGGTAGGCAAGAGGGCCTTTCAGCAATCCAGATTCAAGTTCACCCTGAGGACCATGGTGAGTTACATGTTCTAAACATTCAGGAATAATTTGGGTGTACCAGCATAAGTTTTTGTTATTACTGAATGTTGTTCAAATATGTAAAAGAGATTAAAAAAGGAGGAAATAAACTACTGTCAATTTGTACTTGCTACTTTTATATATATTATTAATTTCATTCTCAAAATACTATGAGATGTAGGTATTATTAAATTATAGATGTGGAAAATAAAGATAAAGATGTTCCCTAGGATTTGGGCACATGTTTCTCAAACAGTAAAGTCCACATTCTTTACACTACAGCAGAATTCTCTCTCAGGAAGTCTGTTTCAATAAATTCTCATGCTGGAATCAAAGAAAGAAAAATGAAGAAAAAGCAGGATTCAGTGGTGGAGCACAGGCTAAGGCAAACATCCTTAAACAGGTGCTTAAACCAGTTCCTGTATTTCCTAAGCAAACCCTGGGGGAAAAAACCACATTCATCTGTGGTTCACATCTCCACCAGCCTCTGCACTAGGCCATAGAGGAGTTGCTGTCCTTCTACCTTAAGAAGTTAAATAATTGGTCTCCTACTGCCTCACAAGCGATTAGCTAGTCATCCAGCCTTCGTATAGGCTGCGTAGTCACAGGGCCTGACACTAAACAGTAATAAGACAGGAGTTTTCATTTTGCCCCCTAGACTCACAGGATTACTGGAACTTTTCCTGATAGAGCAGTTTACAGACCAGTTTTTTGTTTTCTTTTAACTTTTTATTTTGTATTGGAGTATAGCCAATATGTTGTGATAGTTTCAGGTGGAAAGCAAAGGGACTCAGCCATACAAATACATGTATCCATTCTCCCCCAAACTCCCCTCCTATCCAGGCTGCCACATAACATTGAGCAGAATTCCCTGTGGTACCCAGTAGAACCATGTTGGTTATCCAGTTTAAATATAGCATGTGTACATGTCCATCCCAAACTCCCTAACCACCCCTTCCCTCATCCTTCCCCCTGCAACCGTAAGTTCTGTCAATTACAGACCACAGTTTTGATGTGACATACCTACAGTGAGTCTGTCCATAGGATTTCCTGGGCAACAATAAACAAATTTACACTGACTATTTTACTTTTAATTTAACTTAGACCATTAAACGTTCTATAATAATTTGCTTATTAAAAGCTTTTAAAATGCAGTTCCTGGGTTGTTCTTAAGTTTCAAATTAAGAAAAGCTGTCAGTGGAAAAAATGGGAAAGAGCGCAGAGACCCTCACCCTTCCCCATCAGCACTAACTCTTCAGTCCTGAGACCCAATATCCTTTCTCCTTTTTCAGGCCCCAGCCTTGCAAAGGGACATCAACTCAAATGAGTCACACTTGGTTACATCAGAGGCCTGACAGGAGAAAACCTTCAACTCACTCTTCTAATTCATGGCACAGACTTCTCCCAAAGCATATTCCAAAATAAGAAAATGTTGACAGGAGTTAACGTCTAGATTCACAGGCTTGAGGTATGACACTGTTTCCTTTTGATTTCAATGGTATTAATTACAACTTAGTTGCACCACAAAAGTGTTTTGTAGTTTATTTAAAAATTACAAAATCTTGTCCAAATAAATAAAAAATAAAAAGGAAGCAGCAGCAGAGGCTTATCCCCAGCAATCCCTTTCTCTAGTAAGTCTGGGCTGGGCCATAAGATGAGCTGAAAAAATACACACTCAACTGATACAGGAGAAGTTACAATGTTCCTCATTCCATCCTTGACCTACTAAAATAGAACAAAGCAAGGATTTGACCTGTTCTTCTTAATTAAAAAAAAAACATAAATTCCATTCAAGACTGATACCTATCATTTACTGAAAATAACTGATTAGTTAATTCTCACATTCACTTTTCATTTGAGGCATGCCTCCAGAAAAAATAATGTAGGTTTTAAAACTTTTGATCCCATTATAGTATCAAAGTCCATCCTTGCAATTGACACTGATTTTTATGGTTTGCGTGTGTGCGCTACTTGTGACATGAAAAGCCATTTATAAATATTTTTAAATGATGGTAATCACTCTCCTAAAAATAAGTGGGCTTCTCATGCAAGTAAAAGTTTTGGCGGAACAAATGTTAATCCAAGACAAACTACATAAGAGCTAAAAAATAAGTTCTTGTAAAAGTGAAACACACTACAAATTAGTTCCTTTTCTTCATAACTGACCTAGATGTTTTTTCTATTTAACTACTGCTTCCATTCTGCCATCTCCCCCACACATACTCCCACAAAGCCGCTAGAACATCAAAGTTAGAACACAAAGTTATTATGAAAAAGGTAAACTAAACTTAAAACTGGATCGTAAAGCAGTCCATTCGCCTCTGTGCGAATTTACTGAATCAATACATACAAGAACTTACTGATGCTGATGATAACACAAGAAATAATCTGTATCACAGCACAACACAAGTGAGCAATGAGCATGAAGCAAGTTTTCACGTTGACCCTGCCAACCCAGTCATCAAGAATTTGGGAAAATACCAAGGCTTGTTTCATAATGCAATAACTTCTTTCCTCCTCCCCGTACCCCCAATCCTTTAGTAGCCTCTGTAGATCTAAATTTTTAAAATCGTTTTAATTAGTTACCTGTGCCCGTCAACCCACAGATCAGGTGTCCTACATTTTGTTTAGGTCCCCGCCTTGAAAACAAACCCGATTGCCCCATTTTCTGAGAGGTAAACTCAGCTCCAGGAAGCTCCCTATGAAGTCACCGCGTTTGTTGTTTCAAAGATGCAATTAAACGAAAATGACACAGGCTGTCGAACAGATGAGCTGCCCAAGTGCGTGGAGGAGTCGATCATCTCTGCGTAAGGCCAACGAAAACTGTATTGCTGTAAATCTATTTTAGTGGTAATATTTCTCCCAGTTCCTCCTTCTCCAATATACTTACAATACAGGGAAATTAAACTTCGTAAAAACTTTCTTGCCTCTACCAAACTTTAGCTTCCCAGCTTTCGGTACTACAGCATCTTGCAAAGAGCACAGGCGGGGAGGAGCGTGGGGGGGGGTGGGGGTGGTGGCGGCGGGGAGAGGGGTGGCTAACTCCAGAACGCACAGAAGAGCAATAAAAGAGCTTGCATCAGGCAGTGTCCGTCCCTCTGCTCTCTGTTCCCCACCACCCCACCCCCTCTTCTTCGAACCCTCACATATACACATTCTTCTGGGCGGCCTCTAACCACACCACGTCCACAATCATTTACAGAAATGAGAAACAGACTCCGGGAGCCCTTCCCTCGGCACGCACAGAGCTGGCGTAGCACGATGCGGGTAATGTCACTCTCGGCTGCCCAACAATCTCTGTACTCATCCCCTCTGGGGTTTAATTCCCAAGGATCCGGCTTTCCTCCGCCAAGAAGGCGGATCTACCTAGTTCACAAGCAAACAGCATCTCATCCTTCCTACCCCCACCAGGCCCACCAAAGAAAAGTTCCTTCCACCAGGGCCACAGAGAGGTTGATTTTGAGGAGCTGGAGCAAAAAACAAAAAAACAAAACAGAGAGAGGAGGAAGAGATCGCGGCGCACTTTGTGCCCCTCCAGCCCAGCGCCCAGGGCAGCGCGCGTCCTTACCCGCTCGTCCGGAGACGCGGTCCGGCTACTGGCGCACGGGGCAAGGGCAGCCGGGACGCGGCGTCGGGGCGGGCCGCGGGCAGCCGCCGCGGGCGCCGAGAGCCACCACCTCCTCTCCCCCAAGCGGCTGCGGGCGTGGGCCGAAGAAGCTGGAGAAGGAGCCTGGGGAGGGGGGGAAGAGAAGCAGCATCTCCTCCTCCTCCACGCCTCCGAAACACCGCTCCGGCGGCGACCCCGGCCGACCGCCAGACTCTGGAGCGCTCGCGCACCCTAGGCTGCCCCGCGCGCCTCCAAGGGCTTCCCCAAACCCTCCGGAGCGGGGCTGCTTAACCCCGGCCGCCGGCTCCGAGCGCTGCCGAGATACGCCTGAGGCAAACAGGGAAGCCGGGGAGCGCTGCTCGCCCGCCACGACTGTCTCTCGGGGCGGTAATCCCGGTGTGTCACCCCGGCCGCGCGGCGGCTGCGGGAGCTCCCGGCTCTACTCGGGCTCCACCTCTAGCGCTCGCCCGGTTCCGCCCCAGTCCCTGTCAATCAACCCTCCTTGGACTCCTGGAGCCCCGCGGATCTCCGATCCCGCCGTCCCCTCGACCTCATTGGCCCGATGGCCCCTCAGCCCCGCCCCCTCCCTAGAGACGAGGTCGCCGAGGAGACCGGCGCCCAGGTTCCTATGACAACCGGTGCCTTGGGCCTGGCTTTTCGCGAACTTCTGTCTTGCCAGAAGCTCAGGTTGATAGCCCCGCAGGAAAAGTTCCTAGCCCCTCCGGGGTGGACTCCTAATTTCAGGCCAAGTTGAAAGTGCCGCCGACCGCCGCCACACTTCCAGCTTCGGAAACAGAACTTTATGGCCCTGGGGAATGCGAGGGAGAATGGGAAAATGCACTGCTCTTCCTCTGTGAAACTAAATAAACCCCTCCCCCTCTCTGCCCTCCCCTGTCTCCAGCCTTGTTTCCATATTCTCACCGGGCGGATTTGGGCTTTGAAAGGGTGAGGAGAAGAATGCGAGAAAGAGCGGGGCTGTGCCAGTTCCCTGCAGCAATATTGCAACTTGGAAATGGCGGGGTCGACGAAAACAGCTCGGTGAGTTTCCCCACAGTTGTAAAGTGATCCTCAGAGATGAGTTGGAACACTTGGTCAACCCCAGATGCCCTCAGGAAAACTCACATTCTCATCTTTTTGAAATAATAATAATAATAATAACAATCAAGTATGTAAAATCTTGTTATTTTCCTTCTGAAGTTCAGATAATCCTAAAGTTAAAAAAAATGAAGTAAAAAGTTTGACATAATGGAATAAAATAAAGACACCCATTTTTCTATAGAACTACATATTACAGCTTGGTAAAAGTATGTCCTAGCAGCTATGACCCTCCTGAAAGCTAAAAGATTTAGATGTCCACAATTTAACCAGGAAGTTTTACTGAATTCACGAGCAAAGGATATCTCATCATTTGAGTTTCAAAAGTTTGGGTTTACTCTCAGAAGTATAAGGTAAACCCGGTACAATTGGAACTGAAGGTTAAGTTATTCTTGGACCCCCGGTGTTAAGCCCTAGATGAATCTGAACTTCTTGGCTGGTTCCAAAGTGGAGAGATCTGAAGCAAAATAAGAGCTGCAATCTTTAGGCTCCTTAGCCCCTGGGGCTGCTGTTACATGTATGATGAATGAGGGAATTAATAATAATGATTTACCTTTGGCGAGCACTGGCGTTTTCATTATCTCATTTACTAAATGGATAACTGTGGTGGATGTATTCAGTCGAATATGCCTTGCAAATGTGGGCTGAGTGTGATTACCTACAGCACTAAACACAATAGAAAATGCACAGCAGAATTTTAAGATAAGGACCCTGCCCTTAGGGAGATAAACGCAAAGCCCAAGAAAGAAAACTAGCATTCTTGAAACAATTTGAGATTATAGCCAGAATGTGCAGCCGGACACTGAATGCAGTACAGTAGTCATCGAGAGCAAGTCTGTGGTATGTAGAATGGGCTGGATTAGTCAGATTAAGGAGGAAAGGAATTTAAATTGGACTTGGAAGGGTAGGGAGTGGGATGAAGGAAGCAAAGCTGAGGAAAGACATTTATTTGCAGGAAAAATGTAAAACCAAAATGCAACAGCGGGAATAGAGTGGTGAAAGTAAATAACAATGAGAAGATCAGGCCAGTTGACTTAGAGACAGAAATGAAGGATTGGAGAAATTCCCTAGCCCTTCCCTCATTTTCTGAAATAGGAGGTTTTAAATGTTCTGGTTTAAGTATGGGCTGGGAAGGTCGAGTGGCAGAGGTCGTTTTGTGAGAATAAAAGCTTTCATGGAACACCTTCCTCTGTTTTGCTACTGAAAGAAAAGTTCTTGCATTTATTAGAAAGAAAAGCAATATCCATAATACTTGGGATAACTTATGCATTCATGTCAGAAAGAAGGTATAAAGAGTATGGTTTGGAAATTTTCACAAAAGTAGTTAGAAAAACTAAAGTGTTGTGGGTGTCTGTGTGTGTATGCATTAAGGCCTTTTCAGGTGGTTGCCCTCCAGGCTTTTTCCCAGTGATCCTTGTGTTTTATATGAGCTGAAAGGCTGGTTTTAAAAATAAATGACTGTGACGCTAGAACCTGATAGAGTACACAAAAGAGAAATCTATAGTTTAATCTTCTTTTTGGATATAATGTAAAATTAAAGTACAATATTAATAGAACTAGCACTATATTACAAATGTATGCCAAAGTTAAGAATTATGCCAAGTATATAAGAATGATTCTGTAATAGAAGACTTATTTATATAGTTGACTAAATTAAGTCAAAGGAGAGAAATTGTGTGCTTTAATTGATACTGCAAAGGATTTTGTAAAATCCAGCATTGTTCCTTAATAAACAGTTTTGAAGAATGTATATTTTACATCAAAGTCAGAAACTTGCTGAATAATGAACCACTATGCTAATTCCTGCTGGAGTCAGGAGCAAGGCCAAGAATGCCCACCATCAGTTCGTGTAAGGAAATGATAGCCAATGAAATTAGACATGGAATGTACTTAGTCACTCAGTTGTGAACAGCTCTTTCCCATCCTTTGGACTATAGTCCACCAAGCTTTTCAGTCCATGGGGTTTTTCAAGCAAGAATACTGAGGTGGGTTGCCATTTTCCTTCTCCAGGGGATCTTCCTGGACTAGGGATCTAATCTGAGTCTTCTGTATCTCCTACAATGCAGGTGGATTCTTTATCCACTAGTGTGGAACAGAAACAAGAAATTAAACACTGAAAATGTTAGGATTGTCATCTGTTTGCAAATTATATGCAAACTCTAAGGACTAATAGAAAAACTTTCAGAAGCAATAAAAGATGAGTTAGAGTAACATTTTACATTTTGATGGACAAAGCCAAGAAGTGGTACAAGTTACAGTCATCCTAATACAGATGGAAATTTTGAGAGTGCACTCTGTTTCTTAACAGCCTCATCATTAAACTTTTTTGAACTTTGCCAATCTAATAGATACAAAATGCTATCACATTACATCTGTACTTTTGATTCTCTTATGAGCATCTTTTTGTATGTCTACAAGCCAGTCTATTTTCTGTTACCAAAGATATTATCCCATATTTTCTTCTAGAACTTTTATAGCCTTCACAGTTTATTCTTTGATCCATATGGAATTTATTTTGGTGGTAGCAGTAACTACCCATTTGTCCCCCAAAACCTTAAAAGAATTTGTAAATTTTACTACATAACCATGTAAAGCTTCTATAGAGTAAAAATGCAATAAATAGAAAATTTACAAAAGAAATTTTAAAAAGCAATAAATATTTTAAAATAAAACAACTGTGTAGAGAAGTAAAACTAAAAATTAAATATTTGTAACTATTGAATTGGAAAAATATTTTTAAAGATGTAATGTCTGGTATTGGTGAAAACACGGGAAATAGGTACTGTCTCATCATTGTTGGTAGGATTATAAATTGGGTTATTCCATTTGGGAGTGCAGTTGCATTGTCTTTCATAATTTATGATGTTTATATCCTTTTACTTATTTTTTTGAAATTTATCTTATAAAAATATTTATACCCATGACCAGAGATATGATCTCTTTGTGGGACCTACCTGGTGGCTCAGTGGTTCAGATTTCAGGTTTCCAATGCAGGAATCATGTATTTGATCCTTGGTCAGGGAGGGAGTGAAGATCCCACATGCTGTGTGGCAAAAAGAAAAAAAAAAGAATATTCTTTTTAGTTTTATTGATAGTCATAAAATTTAAAAACAAAATAAAAGTCCATAATGGTGGAATGATTAAGTTAACTATGGTTACTCAGGTATATTACCTGGTGACAAAATCAAGTGGCCATACAAAATGGTCTTATTTCTGTTCAAAAGTACATATATCTATGTATTGATATATGGCAATATTTATACTGTTACCAATGGTTTCTACAAGATTAGAAATCCAGAAAAAAATTGCATTTCTGAAATGTTTTAATTTAAAATCTTCACAAGATTGTTTACTTTTGTATAGAAGGCTAAACGGGTTAAAAAAGGCAAACTGTCCACTATAAAATAAGTCATGGGGATATATAAATTCATGGGGATATAATGTATGGCAAAGGTACTATAGTTAATAACACTCTATTGTATATTTGAAAGTTGCTAAGAGAGTAGATCTTAAAAGTTTTCATCATGAAAAAATTTTTTTTGTAAATTTTAATTAAATTAAAAATTCAATTCCTCAGTCGAACTAGTGGTGTTTCAAGCATAGCACAGATAGAGAGCAGTAGAGACACAGAACATTTCAATCATGGCGAGAAGTCCTATTCAGTTGAGTCGCTCAGTCATGTCAGACTCTTTGCGACCCCATGGACTGCAACACGCCAGGCTTCCCTGTCCATCACCAATTCCCGGAGAAGTCCTATAGGACAGTGGTAATTCAGAGGCTAGCATACCTGATTTTTCTCTAAAAGATGAAAGAAAATCTCTTTCTCTTTTGCTAGTTTCTATTAAAACTTATAAACAAAATGGTTAACATAGTTTATCACTACTAACAATAAAGAAATTAGATAGCTGGCCATAACACAAATTTAATTGGGCTCCCACATGGTCCAACCCTGAATATTCATTGGAAGAACTGATGCTGAAGTTGAAGCTCTAAAACTTTGGCCACCTGATGCAAAGAACTGACTCACTGGAAAAGGCCCTGTTGCTGAGAAGGATTGAGGGCAGGAGGAGAAGGGGATGACAGAGGATGAGATTCTTAGCATCACCAACTCAATGGACATGAATCTGAGTAAACTCAGGGAAGTAATGAAGGACAGGGGTGCCTGGCATGCTGCCGTACCTGGAGTCACAAAGGTTTGGTCACAACTTAGCAACTGAACAAGGACAACATGGTCAATGAGCCTCAGAATGTTCATTACTTTGAGGACCATCCTAAGAAATATTTTCTGTGGGACCCAGGGATCACCCCATAACAGTCTCCTTGAGACTGTATTCCAAGAATATGTGTTTTGTTATTTGGGAAAGTATCTAATAAACATTTCAACAAATTCAGAAAAGGATATATATCTCTCCAAAATTTTGCGATTGTGTGCTTTAAATGCCAGTGATTTTAAAATATCACCTTTTAAAGGTTGAAATGAATTGAAAAGGTTGAAATGAATTCTAGGCTAATCAAAATCTGTAAGTAGCAATGTTTT